TAGATGTGTGGCAAATGCACCTATGTGATTCAGCTATGCACAAGCTATAAAAGGTCCCCACTTCGTCTCTCTTCTCTCTTGCTCTCTGCCCTCTCCTTTTCTCTGTCCAGGCACCTCCTACCCCCACTAGGTCTCCCCCTCTCTCCTTCCCTCTGTCTCTCCATCTCCATCCAATAAACTCTTTCACATAATATCTGTTGTGACATCATTTTTAAATGCTAACAGTCACCCAAGTCGGCCGTGTCTCATTAGATTTACAACAGGAAGTTCACCCATGAAGAAAGGAAAATTTTACAATTACAGTTAAGTGGGAGTAGATGCTCTAGGCTGGAGAGATGGCTCTATGACAAAGCACTTGCCAGGCATATGAGGACTGGAATCCACATGGCCAGCCACCCACCCACTAAGCTGGGAGGGTGTGACAGTCCACTTGTAATCCCAACTCTCAGGAAGCAGTCACAGGGGTTCCTCCATGCTGATTAGTTATCCTAGTAGAATCTGCAAGCTTGGTGGAGGGTACTGCCTTGGTAAATAATCGGTGGACAATCAGAATACTGTTGTCAAGCTCTGACTGCTACATGCATGAGCACATTTGCAAACCTTCTTACACGCATACACGAATGCATGCAGACAATGCCGACGTGCGCATGCCGAAAAGAGACTTGGAATGCTCAAGATGACTACTCTGAAGACATACACAAAATGCAGTCAGTCCACATTCCGTAAGTTTTCTTCAATCAACCTTTGTGTCAGTTTACCTGACAAAGTACTAGAAGGCTGAGGAATGCCCTCACAGATAAGCTTACCACAGTCATCACTACTGTTTCTAAAGTTCTCAAGGTCATGTGGTCATTTTAAAAGTTATTTTTTTAATGTATTCTGAGAATATTCTGGCTCTAATGCTTTAAAAATTTACATTTATATATTTATATGAGTGGGTATGTATCACAGCATATGGGACGGTCAGAGGACCATTTGCAGGAGCCAGTTCTCTCCTCCCACCGTGAGGGTTTCAGGAATGAAACTCAAGTCATCAGACTAGTAACAGCAAGTGCCTTCATCAAGTGAGCCATTTCCACTAACCCTTCTACCCCTAATTTTTAGTCAAAAGTATTTCATCTAACAGAATAAACATGTAGACCTTCCCATGACTGAACAAACTATAAGATTTCAGTCAGTGCCTTGAGAACTGCTGGACATACTGTCAAGTACTTTGAATGTGGAGAGTGCTTTAGTCAATTCCTGGTTCAGATCATCTGTGTCTGAGAGAAACTCCAAAGCAGCATGATGATGATGTGATAATATTCACAACAGTTCACATTTGATATGTTTTAGTACATTGCTGCCTCCACATTTATTCCATGTAAAGTCAGCTACATCAGGGAAAAACATTACTTTTTCTATCTTAGGAGATGCTGTTAGATAGGTAGAAAACCCTGGGTATGAAAAGTCTTGTGGGGAGAAAAAAACTTTTGTGTTCAGATGTTAATTCAGAAATGTGCTGATTTGTCATCTCCAAAAAATTATTATTTGGAGGCTCAGTATCCCCAGCTATCTAGATTGGCCAATCTAGAGTTTTCTGACTAATTCTCAAAGAGAAAATTGTCAGCCCTCTAGGATAAAACTCCACTGGAATGCTTGTCTTGATTTAGTCATGACCATGCCCTCTGATGCTTAGTGAGAGCACCCAGCCAGAGTCCTTCCTGCCGGCTCCTTAAACAAAGAAATCTCAGGAGAGTTTCTCCCTTCCGAATAAGTGAAATAAGAATATTTCTCCAGGTTACTCGTTGTTTAAATTATGCTGCTGGGGCACATTCAACATATAAAATATTTACATACTTTGAGCCAATGAGATGGCTCAGCAGGAAAAGGAGCTTGCCACCAAGCCTTGCAACCTGAGTTCAACCCCCAGGACCCACATGGTGGAGGAAGAGAACCAACCCTCAAGGCTGTTTCCTGACTTTCCACTTGTGCACCGTGGCACATAGCTGCGCACACACAAATAATTGTAAATCTTTCAAAAAGTTGACATATTTAATATATACAACTTAATGAATTATTTTATGTACATAACTATAAAACTAACAGAATACGGTAAGCACTGTATACGTGTCTATTCCATTCAAAGGTGTTTTCTGCAGTGTGTGTGTGTGTGTGTGTGTGTGTGTGTGTGTGTCTGTGTGGATGTGTGTGTTGGTGTTGAGAGAGAGAGAGAAAGAGAGAGGAAGAGCAGTCAACATATGTTCTACTCATCAATTCTATGGCTGTAATGCAATCCCATGAACTACAGTCTCCTATAAGTACACCTCAGAAATCTTTTCATACTGTAAACTGAGGCTGTATCCTTTACCTAGCCTGCTGCTTACCATACTGGACTCTCCTTTGCTCCTGTGAATTTGAAAATCTCATAATCCTTACATCAGTGATACCATGAGTATTTTATCTCTTTGTTTGGCTTCTTGTACCTAGTTCTTCTTTTGGATTTATTCATCTTATTGTGAGTGGTTGAATAATAGTCCATGTTATGGATATGCCATGTTGTCTTTAATCATTGTTATAGTGACAGGCACCTTGGCTGTTTCCATGTCTTGGCTATAAAGATACATGGCAGTAAGCATAGACGGTCAGAATAAACTAAAAGTTTGTTTACAGTCTAGTTCTGAGAATGTAGCTGTATCACACAGCAGTTCTGGAACTGTAGCTGTATTTCATGGCAGTTCTATGTTTTGGGGACTTCTCTGTGATATTTTCCTCAATGGCTGCAATGATTTACACGCCTCTGAATAGTGTACAGGATGCCTTTTTCCCCATATCCTCACAAATATTTCCTATAATATATGCATGTAACCATGCCATTCCACCAGCTGTGGTAGCCGTCTCCTGAGGATTGCTCAGCACTGCCCTAATGGCTAGTGGTGTCATGCACATCTCAGATACCTGTGGGCTATTTGCGTACTTTTGAGCAGTGTATATAAAGTCCCTTTGCTTATTTTTAGGCATTGTTACTTTTTCCTCTACTGCATTTTGTAACTTCTTTGTGTGTTTTGGACATTAACGCCTTATGGAATAGTCCATGACTATTTCCCCTCACTCTGTAGGTTACTATCTCTGTTTTCTGCTTCCTTTGTTATGCCAAAGCTGTAAAACTTTGTGTAATTCACAAAACTCAGTGTAATTCTGTTGTCTTTTTTGCTTTATTTCCTGTGTGTGCATTCTAGAAGCCAGCATGAAGACTGATGTCAAGAGGATGTTTTTTCCCCCATAGGTTCTCATCAAGGATTTTTCTAGTTTGGGGTCTGGCATTTCCATCTATGTGTTTTAATGGACGTGGTATGTGGCTTAAGAGCCCAGTCATAAGCTTCGCACGTGGATATCCAGTCTTCCCGGGCTGCTCACGGAGGAGAAGCTCCTGCCACTGTGTGTGTTTGGCACTTCTGCTGAAGATCACTGACTGCACAAGAATGCCTTATTTCTAGGCTCTCGGTTTAGTTTCATTTGTTTACACACCTATGTTCTATCCAGGCTATACTGTTTTGGTTGCTGCAACATTTAACTTGCATTTTGAAACCAAATTATATTTTGAAAGCTGCCTATGGCTTTGCTCTTTCTTAATATTATTCTGGCTATTCAGGTCTTCTTTGGTCCAAAAAAAAAAAAATGAAAGGTCTTTTTCTGACTTTTCAGAAAAGAGAAAGGATTGGGAAAAAGAGAAAGAAAAGCTGTACTATATCTGTAGATAAATTGCTTTTGTCAAAATGAACACATTTACATAAAGTATCTTTCATTTATTTCTGCTATAAACTTTTTGTTGATGTTTCATTATCTTGTGTAAGTATTTTATCTTCTGAGGTAAGTTTATTCCTAGGTACTTTATCCATTTTGATATTAACTGAAATGGAATTGTCTCCTTGGGTTTTTCTGGGGTGATTCACTGATGGTGAGCAGAAATGCAGTGATTTTACACATGATGTTGTGCCCTGCCACTCTGCTGGATTTGTTAGCTCTAATCATTGTGTTTGTCTGGTTGGTTTTTTACAAAGTCCTCCATGTAAGATCATCTGTGACCAGACTCTATTTTCCTGCTGCCTTTCCATTTTAAGCCTGTTAATTTCTTCATCTCGACTAGCTTCTCTGGATAGAATGTTTCTTTACACAGTAGAGTAGAATAGTTGAGGGGTTGGGGATTTAGCTCAGTGGTAGAGCGCTTGCCTAGCAAGCGCAAGGCCCTGGGTTCGGTCCTCAGCTCTGGGGAAAAAAAAAAAAAAAAAGACAAAATAACAAAAAGACCAAAAAAACAAGGTAACTAGTTGAGTTGGAACTCTTTGCTTATTCAAGCTCACAGAGGAAGTCTTAGAAATTTGAGGGTTTTTTTTGTTTGTTTGTTTGTTTGGATTTTTGTTTTGGTTTCATTTTTTAGTCTTTTTGTTGTTTTGGGGTTCTATGGGTTTTTGGTTGGTTCATTTTGATCTGGGGGTTCACTGTTGGTGGTGGTGCTCGGTTACTTTTGCTTCGTTTTGGTTTGGTTTGGTCACTGAATTTATTAGCTTTTTGTTCATTTATGTACTTTGTTGTCTTAATCATTTTAATCATCTTCATCATTTCTTTTTATACCTTTTGAGAGTTGTGTGTCAGTGTGTGTGTGTGCGTGTGAGTGAGTGTGTGTGTGTGTGTGTGTGTGTGTGTGTGTGTGTGTGTGTATGTA